CTTGCAAAAAAATGGGGACCTCATCTAATCATAAGAAAGCCTCAGATAAATTCAAGTTGATAGATATTTGATAAAATAACTGACCAATTTTTTTGAGGCAGGATATCAGAGTTGAGGTCAGTCTGCTTCAGCTTCCTGAGTGTTAGGATTTATAGGTGTGTACCACCACACCCAGTTCTGACCATTGTCATTTAAGAATATCAAGGTTGTAAGAGACAAGGAAAGACTGAGGGACTCTCAGGTAGGACAGCTAAATGCAATGTGGGATCCTGAATTGGAAACTGGAACAAAAAGGGATGTTAACCCAAAACCCAATAAAATTAGAAATAAGTCCACAGTGGTCTTAATTATAGTGCACTCATGGTTAATTTCCTGGTTCTTGATTTTCATAAGCATACCATGATTATGTAAAACATTAATATTAATAGAAATCAGTCAGAAGACATAAAGAGACTTAGTTATTTTTGCAGCTCGTCCATGTCTCAACATATTTAAAATACAAGTTTATTTTAATTAGATGTATGTATGTATATATCTGTGTGTGGGCATAAGCAGATGAGTACAGGTGCCCACAGAAGCTAGAGGTGTTGGGTTTCCTGGAGCTGGAGTTACAGGTGGTTGTGGGCTGCCTGATGGCAGGTCTGGGAGCTGAACTTGGGTCCTCTGGAAGAGCACTGTGTTCTCTTAATCACCGAGGCTTCTCTCCAGACCTTCAAAACAGAAGCTTAATGGGAACTCTGGGGACTTTTTAATGACAGAACATGTTTTTATATCATTTAAATTTACAATTTTCCCATGATTGTGAACATACACAAGCAATTTTGTGTCTACCTTTCGATGTTTTCCATATTGCTAAATTCAATCTATATTTATTTTATGAACACCTTAAAAATCTGTCCAATTTCTACCCTGATTTCCTTTTTCTGTTCTGTGCTTTTCCTCTCTTGGATCTGCTGGCCTTGTTGTTTCTGGAGTCTTTGTCTCTGAGATGATGATGTGCGCATAATATTACGGAGACAAAGAACACTGGGCCAGAACCCAAGAGGCTGTGGTGCCAGCATCTTAGTCTGGTTCTATTGTTAATTTGATTTCTTTCCACTTGTAATTTTCTGAGACCAAATAGTTTTGGCTAACGACCATGTACACAACTTGGTGTATGAGTTAAAATGATTATATAGATATTATATGTATTATCGTGCTCTATATTTAGATTTTCTAAATGCTTTATCCATATGAATTTTCACATCTTGTCCTCAAAGTCTTTAATTTTTATCAAAGACTTCATAATATACACTCTAGCATTTTCCTCTCTGTTTCTCATTGTGTATTCGTGTGTGTGTGTGTGTGTGTGTGTGTGTGTGTGTGTGTGTGTGTATGAAGAGCCAGAGGACAACTTCAGGTGTCATTCCTTAGATACTGACTTACGGGCCTACAGCTTGATAAATAAGCTAGCTTTGCACAAATCTTAAGGTCTCTCTGCCTCTACATCTCCAGTTCTGGGATTACAAACATGTGTCACCATGCTCAGCCTTTTAAAAGAATTCCAAAGTGTGTTCTTCAGGCTGAATTCAGTTGTGCTTGTTGCAATACAAGCACTTGACTTATGAACCATCTCTCTAGTTCCTCTAGAATAATTCTTTCTTTTTTGCTTAGATTCCAAGGTAAGATGGAAATGGTAGAGACTGGTAGACAGTGAGACACATCTAGGGCTCTAACCAGGAAAACTCAGTTTTCTTCATCAGAAAAGATAATTTGGCTAT